ACTGCTTATATACATGAATCCTAGAATTAGACGTCAAAAAAAGGACATGGTTGATATTCAAGAAATGTTGTTAAGAACTGCGCATATGCACGATTTCGTAGCACATTCATTCTTTGATGTTGATAAGAAAAGTTTGGAAATTTTAGAATCATACAGGATTTGCTGCCTAATCTTGGTTTATGCCATAAAAAGTCTTCTTACTGGAGTTGAGTTAAATCAAGAACACATTGATCCATCCCTAATTCCATTGATTCCAATGATGCGATATTTGAATATTGATATGAATGGCGTTACCAGCTCTTGGAAAACGGGCCAAGAAAGATTAGCATTGTATACCCGATCTATTCAAATATTAAGGGAAATTGAACAACATAAGCTTCAAGGTGCTTCATCGAATCCAGTATTAGTTGTACGTGACTTTGCGCGTGCAATGTTAAAAATTCCAATGAACATTCCGCCATATTTTTTTGACAGACAACAAAGAACACGTATCCATTGGCTTGATGTCCCATATTTTAAAGGAAACAAAGCAATTTTGGTTCAAGAAAAACTTGTTCTCAAGTTAGAAGGAATAGTGCAGTCAGGTTATGATGTGTCAAAAAAACTGCAAAGCATTGAAATGATCATCTTTGGATCAAATATTGATTTTTTTGAGAAATCTAACCCAGAAAATTCTTTATTAAATAACTTAAAATTCTCAGACACAGCATTAAATTGTAAAGAGTCGGCTACAAAAAATACTGATTCGTTACAAACTTCGGTTGTTGTTTGTAGTGTAGAGATAAACAATAATAATTATTTTGCAGCATCGGTTATCTTTCCGTTTCCGTTAGGTAAAGATGGTTGTAAATTTATAAATGTTCATACCAGAATTGTTGATGATCAATCTGCTATGTGGACGATTGGGCCCGACTTGAGAATAGTAGCTCCTTCAATACAATAGCATGATTAAGTAATATGAATAATAAGATTAAATAGGTTGGTGTTATTGAATTTTAAATTTGTTGGTGTTTATTTTATGAAAGAATTTCTTAATTATATAGCATATTCTGTTATATAAACCTTCAATAAAAATATTAGTTTAAAACAATTGGTAATTTGAGATCTAATTTTACAGGTGAATTTAACATGTTGGAAGATGCTTTTTTTTTATATATCAAGTAAACTAAACTATGATTGATAATAAAATCATAAAGTCCAAAGAACCATTTATATGCTTTATTATTTGATAAACCAATAAAATTGAAAACAAAATAAATTTCCAAGTGGGCAGCTTAAAACATAAGTGTTTTATACGTATAATTCAAAATACAGTCAAAATAACGGACATGTATATAAGCAGC